GTGGTGTCGAAGGGCAGGAACTGGAAAATATCGCTCAGCAGGTAATTCGGATGTATGAACTGCGCGGCGAGAGGACAAAGGAATCGCAGGAAGTTGTGAAACTTATTCGGGCGAGGAGTGCGATGGATCGATATGCGCAGGGCGATATGGAGGGCGCTCTGGAGGTGAGTGATTATTCTTCTAAGTTATGGGCCAGCACTCATGGAATCTGCTCAGGCCATCGAAGCGTCGGATATTATCCCCTTGGACGGAGACTTAAGGTCTTTGAACCGTCGAGTCGACCAATTTAAATTTATGGACCCTGCGATCACGCGAAACCTCGGCGAGATACTGATGCTTACCATGAACATCATCGTCGGTTTGCATGCTCGAACGAAGACTGCCAACATTTCTGACATTGATAGACAATCGGTGAGCGGCGCCCTTAAACTGCGTGTGCTTTTGAAGCTGAATATGAGCTTCCTCCCAGCGGTTGGCCCGGTTACGACAGAAGGCAAAAGCAGTTTCAACCCTTGCTGGGCTTCAGAGGATGAGTATCTCATCCGATATTCTAGGTCAACTTAATCGGTTGGAAGTAAAGGTTGCGCATTGAGTTGGCGCGTTGTATCGTATCGCAATGTCTATTATTTCACGCACTTTCAACGTCGTTCTTATTTGTGGGATGTCCGATTTGGGGCTTGGGATTCTGTACGACGAACAGCCCCTATGACAGAGTATTTGGGTGCATCCCACTCGAACGTTTCAGGTGCGGTGAACTTTAACTTCAAAACCTGGCAAAAGGTGTTTAAGTTCATTCTTGGGCAGACGGATGAAAGGAACTGTGAACGAATATGTGTGTCGGGCACGAAAAGAGGGGAGGCCCTTTTTCTTGTATGAATAATTTATTAATCGAACACAGAAAACTGATGGATGTGACGCTGAAACAAAGCGTTAAGCTCATGTAAAAAGAGGGGCCTAACCGGGAATTGAACCCGGGACCTCGCCCATGAGGTAAGCAGTGAACTGCTTGAACCCTAAGGGCGAATCATACTACTAGACCATCAGGCCGCGATGTTTGAATTCGGAGGTTATCTAATATAGCAGACACAAAAGGACTCGGAGCCCGTTCGATGGACTGTCAGATTCCGAGGAACAGAGCCAGTGGGTCGCAAGGGGTGGATCAACTTGCCTACAGCGCCCTCTTTAAATGGAGCCATTGTTTCCACAGCCCGCTTACATAAGACCCCGGGGCCCGTGGTGCTTCGCTCTGTTGCCGTTTCTTTTCTTCGCACTCGAGTGTCGTATTCACGTCCAGTCGATCACCCTGTAAGATATATCGCCTCCCCCCCACTACCTTTAGTCGGTGTCGAGCTGTAACTGAGACGTCTGTTGTGCTATCACTCCTTCATTAGGACCTCTGGAAGTCGAGTTCGGCGTTCAGCTGAAGTTCACGGTATGTCATCAAACATCGGGAAGCAAGATGCCATTTTGCAACCGGGGTTGCACATATTACCGCACGTATACTACGTTGTGTTTAACATCATAGAACCCGCCATGAGTATGTAGCACGGGTCAAACAGATGGTCGGCTCCCGTATTCCCCTTGAGCTAACCGTTATGTTCACCCTTGGACTCGATCCCTCATTTTTAGCTACTATCGCTGCGATAATGGCAATCGGTGGATCTGAATGGTACTACAACGAGACTCTTCCGTCTGGGGGCAAGTCAACTGCCGCTTTAACGCTCAGGGCGATGCTCATTGTGCGGCAGCTAGGCAATTGTAAGCACGATTCGCACCTAGTTACACGAACAGCATCCAGGAACTGTGTATGTCTCGTGCAGGCTACTTTCTTCTAGGTATGATTTCCATCTGCGTCTTGTCGGCAATTCGGAGGGCGGTCCCGTATGACGCTGTCGCTCAAGAAAAGCTGGTTGGCGGACTGCTGACTGCACTAGCTATTGCTGATGTGAGTATCTCATCCATCTCGGTCCCTCGATCCTTGGCTTATCACGCGCGCTGTATAATAGGTGACGCAGTAAGTGACCCATATTGCCTTGTCTAAGGCTCGAGGTCTAATGGTACTACTCTTTCAGTGTTGGGCTATCGCTGCTTGGGATGCCGTTGGCCCTTGTCTTTGAGCCGTGGAAATGGAACGGGATTGTGCACGGCAACATAACCGTGACCCTCGCGCTCTTTATCTGCCGGTAAGCGACATCGATAATTCTGCGCTAACGTGGCTAACCCCGTCGCGTAATATCACAGGATGGCGTGGTTTGCGGGTATGGGTAGAAGTTCGTACTACTACAGAGTACAAGGGGCAAAGTTGAAAGAGACGTAAGATCGCATTTGTTTGAACAATTGCAAGATTATTCCTCCTCCTCCTCCTCCTCTGCATTTTGGAACACAGGATTCGGCTGGTTGATACGCCAGGCTAAGGGGTGGTTGTAAATGGTAAGAACTAGGAAAAGAAAGCTCAGGGCCGCAGGGCTGATAACTAACCTGCGGTGAACTTGGGATCCGACTCCGCGAGATTTGCATACTTGAGAAGAGCTTCTCGTGGCTAGAATACGGGGAAATCTCAGTTAGAAATGGCTGATCGCAGCGACAGAGACTGTGGTAGCCTACGTCTTCATCTCGGGTTGAATCCCGAACGAGGTTTTGCACAACGTGCTGAGTAGCACTTGCGCCGACACGTCCACCTTTCCCAGGTCCGTGAAGCGGTGGCATTGGCTTGCGGGTCTTCCTTGGATCGTCTCGCTCCTTCTCCCTCCTCCGCTTCGTT